GGGGGGAGGGCGGGGTCATGGAGTATTGTTCATTATTCAACGCTTTTGCATACTGGTCTTCAATCTCAAGCTTCAGAGGCAGGTGTATCTACAGACGTTGCCGGTAGTTATTTTAATATTTGCTCGGTTTGCCTTAAACTTTGCAGATCCCTACTTCTTAACTTAAAGACAGCGATGTTCACTTGATCATTTTTGTTACGAACTTTTAAGTTACAACACTACTCCAACCTAACGCAGCAATAATTCAACACACACCGTAAACACCCCCGCCTAGATATCTCTCAAGACATGACGGGTCATTAAGCAAACACGAGAAGATTTATAGCGCCATGATGAGGCTCGCCCATGCTCTTGATTGGTTGTAAATGTTTCAAGCCCACAAGTCCACATGCACGCTATTTAGATTATAATATTGGAGGTAAGCTGCTTCGACCCAACCTGACGAAATCAAAACGAGCTAAGAGTGCTACAGACAGTATTCTTAAATATCCAAATAGTGTTGACAGAGGTGTTAAAACCAATACCATTCACCATTTTCACGAACAGTGCCCTGTCAGAAAGACGAAGAAACTGATTTGGGGGGGGGGGTGTCTTTTCGTGGTCTAGAGGTTAAGGTGTTTGCCTCTTATTCAATAGGTCCCGGCTTCGAATCTGGATAACAACGGAAAATTTTCTCCTCTAAAAATGTTCTCCTTTCATAACGTTTCCTGCCCTTTAACAATATTCTGTCGTCTGCTTTCGTCTCCATTTTCTGCCCCCAGCCCCTCACCTCCTTTGCCCCCTCCTCTGGGCCCCGGACTCTTTCTGCAGCCTTTCTACTGCTACTCCCTGGCGCCTTCTTACTGGTGTCTTTCAGTCACACCCCTGGTCTTATGGCAGAAAAGATCTACACCTAGTCTTCACGGATACGGGTGAAAAATCTCTGAGGTCCCGTGTGCAAGTGGCGCACCTTAATGATCCCTTAGTGGTCCAAAATCGATAAGACTCCAACAAAACTCAAAATTTTCTACCAACTGAAAATGTTCAATATGTCAGGCACGCTCATATGACCTTAGGCAGTTGCGAGCTCTGTAAAACACTTACTGAAAAAGAAAATTTAAAAATTACAGCTTATTTTAAAACAACACACTTTTAGCAACAACACAAAGCCCCGGTCACAGTTTCTACTAGTCCTTTCTCTCATGTCCTCAGCACCAGGTAACCTCCCTGTTGCCGAGTTCACAATGAGATATTAGGATTGTGACACTGGCTTCCCGTAACACAGTGTCCGTGTACGAGAGAGAGAGGGGGGGGAGAGGGGAGAGAGGGG